CAAAATTTTAACAGCACCAATTGCAAACTTATAATCGAAAAATAAAGCACGTTTCGCCCACAAAACACACAGTCAATTCACTTTACAGTGTGTTCTGTGAAGCGCTTTGGGATGTCCTCCCGACGTAAAAAGCGCTGTATCAAATGCAAGGATTATTATTATTATTATTTACGATATGAAGCGCTTTGAGATGCCTCAATGACATGATAAGGCACTGCATCAAATGCAAGGTTATAATTAGAAGTTATACTTATTGGTGTATGATTACATTCACCAGGGGAGACGGGTGCAATTCCATATGTAATTGTAGGTCAGAAGCAAGTGGGGGGTTGGAGGGGGTGTAAATCGAATTCAGTTGAATTCGCAAATAAAGGTTAACATTAAAATAAGCAAATCCTGGATTTCTCGGTGTTGGTCAAGAAAAATGAAACAAAGAAGTTGAAGTTCCTTTTTTTTTCTCATCATGAGAGTGCATCTGAAATTGAAAGTCGACCCGTTTATTTTCAACTCAGTTCAGCCGCACGCCACAAGGCAGTTGTGGGTTCCACTCTTGCAGTGAGTGAGTTTCTTGTGATGTTTGCTCAGCGCTGTCATTTGCCAAGTTCCTGAAACTCAGTGCAGAACAGGCAGTTTCAATCACATCAGTTGGTCACCACAATAAGTTTTTCTGGTTTAATGTCACCACATTCTTAGTGTGCAGTCACCCAGTCTCGGATGCCTGCGGTTCGCCATATGCCAGTCAGTGGAGGAAAGCCATTAACAGAAAAAACAGAGCACTTATTTATTAAAATACCATCACCCCTCAACCCCCCTCCGTTTTGTTTAAATGTGTTCTTAATAATAATCCTTGTATTTGACATAGCGCCTCATCACATCAATGAGACGTCTCTTTTTTTAAAATTAAACAGAAAACGTTTAAATGACAAACGACAAGTGGAGTCCTGTAGCTCAGTGGTTAGAGCACTCGCTTTGCAAGTGAGAGACCTGAGTTCAATTCCAGGCAGAGGGCGAAACCTTGGGCAAGTTTCCTTACTCCACACAGAGCCTAATAATAATCCTCCAAAACCAAAAGCAATAATAAATTGGTCATTTTCAATCTACGACTGTTTGTGGGACATTGCTGTGCGCAATTGGCTGCCGCGTTCGCCCACAAATATACAGTCAATTCACTTTACAGTGTGTTCTGTGAAGCGCTTTGGGACGTCCTCCCGACGTGAAAAGCGCTATATCAAATGCAAGGATTATTATTATTATTAAACACACGGCCACACACTTGACAGTATTTCTTGGAGCCAAACGATTGTCCAGTGCCCTGGGACGTCTTGCCGACATGAACAACAACAAAATTAAATTTGTATAGCGTCTTTCATGTCGGGAGGATGTCCCAAGGCTGCTGGACAATCAGTGTTTCGGACCCGAGCTGGTGGTCGGGATGGAGGAGTGTGCAGGGCAGGGGAGGAAGGCACAGTCAAAGCCACAGTCGAAGAGGAGGGTCTTGAGACGGGTCTTGAAGGAGGCAGGGGAAGGGGCGAGGCCGAAGGACTGCGGGATGGAGTTCCAGAGGGTGGGAGCAGAGTGGCTGAAGCACCGCCTGCCAATGGTGGGGCGAGCAAAGCATGGAATGTGAAGCAGGCCGGAGCCCGCTGAGCGTTGTTAGTGGGCAGGTTGGTAGGGGGTTAGGAGTAGAGGTAGGGGGTAGCAAGACCATGAAGGGCATTGAAAGTGAGGGCCAGGATCTTGAACTGTATCCTCTGTGATGCGAAGCCAGTGGAGTCAGGCGAGGATGGGGGTGGTAGGGTCACAGTGCTTGGTGCGGGAGAGGACACAGGCTGCAGAATTCTGGATGATTTGCAGCCTATGAGGAGGAAGGAGTTGGGGGCTTGACACGGAGGGAGTTTGCGTAGTTGATCCTGGATGTTATGAATATATCTATGAGGGTCTTGATGACCTACAGTGTGAGACAATGGCAGAGCCGAGCGATGTTGCGGAGGTGAGGAAAGGCGGAGCGGGTTATGGCACGGATGTGGGGTATGAAGGACAGTTGAGGGTTGAACAGGACCCCGAGGTATCGGCTACGTGAGATATAGGGCCCATCCGTTGAGGGAGATGCTGTCAGTGCCCGAGTTATGGAGGCAACTGAAGCCAAGCAGGAGGGTCTCGGTCTTGTGAAGGGTGCCATACAAATGTAATTGGTGGTTGTTGTTGCTGTTTCTCTCTGTCAAGCCCTTTTGGGGGATTGAATTTACAAGGGGCTACATCAAATGCAAAGATTGTTATTATGGCAGCAGAACGGATCAAATCACTTGTCACAGGAAGCTTTTAGGAAAACAGGCAAACTTAGGGTTACAACAACAACAACAACAAGATTCCATTTATTGAGCGCCTTTCACGTCGGGAGGACGTCCCAAGGCGCTGTACAGTTGGGTCAGGACCCAAGCAGTGGGGAAATGGTCAGGGTGAGGGGAGGGAAGGGAGGGAGCGAGGAGGGGGAAATGGTCAGGGTGAGGGGAGGGAAGGGAGGGAGCGAGGAGGGGGAAATGGTCAGGGTGAGGGGAGGGAGGGAAGGGAGCGAGGAGGGGGAAATGGTCAGGGTGAGGGGAGGGAAGGGAGGGAGCGAGGAGGGGGTAGAGAGTCGAGAGTGGAGCTGAAGGCTCGGTCAAAGAGAAAGGTCTTGAGACCGGCCTTGAAGGAGGAAAGGGAGGAAGCGGCGAAGGCACTGGGGGATGGAGTTCCAGAGCCGAGGTTAGGGTTAGGACTGTGTGATCATGACAGAATCCGGTACAAAGTCTGAAACCCACACAGTCGGTCTGCTTCCTCGTAAAATCCCAGACTTTGAACTTTCCCTTTTTAATCACAAAGGGGCCACGGCAGCGCTAGTCAGTGATGCATTGAAGCTTTCAGTTCTGTTTAGTTACAGGATATTATAATCCTCATTGAGGCCACTACTCAGTAGAAGCATTTGGATATAAAGGAGAAGTCACTTGCTGGCACACAGACTTTTTTTTTACTGTACGGTCTGCCCGGCTGCACTCACGTGATACACCATGATCAAATTTAAAGTGGTAAAAAGTAAGTAAGGAAATGCTGTATGTACAAATCTGCATGTGTTCGTTCTAGAATTAATCAAAACTTGGCACTTTTCACCCTCTGTCTGAAAGTGTAAGAATGCCGTAGAAATTTTGGAACCTTTTAAAGAAACTTTTGAGAAACTTTTCAAATTTGTAACCAGGTGCTTTTCAAGAACCGTGGAAAAGAGGCTCCTGAATTAACAACAACAACAACAAGATTCCTTTTATAGAGCGCCTTTCATGTCGGGAGGACGTCCCAAGGCGCTGTACAGTTGGGTCAGGACCCGAGCATTGGGGGGAAATGGTCAGGGTGAGGGGAGGGAAGGGAGGGAGCGAGGAGGGGGAAATGGTCAGGGTGAGGGGAGGGAAGGGAGGGAGCGAGGAGGGGGTAGAGAGTCGAGAGGGGAGCTGAAGGCTCGGTCAAAGAGAAAGGTCTTGAGACCGGCCTTGAAGGAGGAAAGGGAGGAAGCGGCGAAGGCACTGGAGGATGGAGTTCCAGAGCCTCGGGGCTGAGAGGCTGAAGGCCCGGCCACCAATGGTCGGGCGGTTGGGGCGAGGGATGTGAAGCAGACCGGAGCCAGAGGAACGGAGGGTACGGGCAGGTAGGTAGGGGGATAGTAGGTTGGAGAGGTAGGAGGGAGCAAGGCCGTGAATGGCCTTGTAGGTGAGGACGAGGATCTTGAATTCGATCCTCTGGGGGATGGGGAGCCAGTGGAGGCGAGCGAGGGTGGGAGTGATGTGGTCCGGTGTCTGGTGCGGGACAGTACACGAGCTGCAGAGTTCTGAATGACCTGCAGCTTGTGGAGGGAGGGCTGGAAAGGCCGGCGAGGAGAGAGTTCCCACAGTCCAGCCTTGAGGTGTATTATAATAATAATAATAATCCTTGCATTTGATATGGCACCTTATCACATCGTTGAGACGTCTCAAAGCGCTTCACAGGATGTACTGTGAAATGAATTGATTGTATTTTGTGGGTGAAACGCGGCAGCCAATTGTGCACAGCAGCGTCCCACAAACAATCATGGATTGAGTGACCAAGGTATTATTTCTTAGTTCATTTTTTTGAACGGATTATTACCCCCAGAAAAGCTATCTGCCAATCGACTAAAACCGGGTTCCTTCTTAATTAAGATGAAATTTAAACACAAAGCATAACAAATATCCATTATTTGTATGTCAGTCTCAGTCACTCTGTAGACACACGTATAAATACAATACATAAATAAATGTGGACGGTATATTGACAGCATGATAACTTAAGTAAGTGGTAGTGACAGGTTAAGCCAGGGTTGAGTTATCATGATTACTGTATGACTAATTCCATTTAAATCCTGCTGAATTCTTGCTCAAATACAATACAAATTTTGTACAAATAGTACAACCAGGAGTCTTGAAGCAAGAGAGACCTGGGTTTGGTTCCCGGCAGGGGGAAATGTTGGGCAAGTTTCCTTACTCCACACTCCCCTGTTTACAGTAAGTAGGAACCCAGTTGTTAGTCGATTGGCGGATCACTTTTCCAGGGGTAATAATTCCTTAAAATAAAAATAATAATAAATTGGTCACTCAATCTAGGACTGTGTGTGCAATTGTCTGCTGAGTTTCACCCACAAAATATCCAGTTAATTCACTTTACAGTATATTCGGTGAAGCGCTTTGAGACGTCTCAAAGACATGATAAGGCGCTGTATCAAATGCAAGGATTATTATTATTAAACTTTGACTGGGGACTGCAATTATTTCTCAAGGCCGTGTATCCTTTTTAATGACATATGTATGTATCTTTTACTAGTCTTGAAGCAACTGTTTCGCAACACAGAAAAGGAACCAGTATATTACAGCAGGAAAAAGGGACTGGAATGTATTGCTCCGCTGATGACAACTGTGGAGGAAACTCCAGAACCAGTTACAGCGACAGTCAAAGGCAAAATTCCAAACTGGTTAAGAGGCAACTTCCTGAGAAACGGTCCTGGAAAATTTGAGTTTGGAAATGAAAGTATGTGTTGAATTCGATTTGAAAGTCTTGGAGTCCTGTAGTTCAGTGGTTGGAGCACTCGCCTCGCGAGCGAGAGGACCCGGGTCGATTCCCGGGTCGGGCGAAACGTTTACTGTTTACCAAGCAGATTCTTCGAGCAATTGGATGTTTCTTGGATCGTTAGTCGATCAGCAGATTGCATTCCCGGGGGTACTAATCCCTTCCAAAAATAATAAAAATAGCAGTTTGATCACTCAATCCATGACTGTTTATGCGACTCCGCTGTGCGCAATTGGCTGCCGTGTTTTGCCCACAAAATACACAGTCACTTCACCTTACAGTATATTGTGTGAAGCGCTTTGAGACGTGTCGGCGCTGTATCAAATGCAAGAATTAATATTTATTATTGGGTGGGTGCTCAGGAAAGATGAAACTAAATGGGTTGAAGGGACCTTCTGAATCTATCGAATATACAGATCTGATGAGCATTGGATTCAGTTGTATGACTATCCCAAACAGCAATGCAGTCTGTTACACTGGTGGTCGATTAACTCTTTAGGTACAACCACTGGTTTGATGGCATGGCGCTCATGCACCAGTTCAGAATTGCCGAGGGCAGCGTCACCTACATGAGCAAGTTCCTCCGCAGCGAATCGTACAAGACCAACAGCGCCTACAACCGCATCATGGTGTCAGAGTTTGGAACGCTTGCCATGCCAGACCCCTGCAAGAGCATCTTCGAACGCTTTATGAGTCGATTTGAAATGTTAAGTACGTTCAGTACCCCATTGCTCTCTAAACGCATCGTTCTTTGACGCCGCATGAAAGATTAAAGGATGTTTTCTGATAACACTTTTGTTTTGTTTAAAGAACCGACTGACAACGACAATGTGAACTTTGTCCTGTACAAAGGTGACTACTATGTGAGCACTGAGACTAATTTCATGCATAAAGTCAACCCGAATACCCTTGAAACAGGAGAGAAGGTAAGCTTGACTCAATTGCTTGCTCCTCTTTGACTTGCTCTGCTGGTACCAAGTGGATTGATTGACTTTGTGAGCAATTCTTGACTTTCAAAAGCCTTTACGGTCTCTCCTCTGCCTAGTTCTCGTCCAGCTCCATTCCCCAGCCCCCACTCTCTGATCCAGGAGTACAGCTCATTCCTCAATGCCTTTCCCCCAAAAAACTGTAACCTTCTGGAACCCTCTTCCAAAATCCTTTCTCTCCCTCCTTCTTTAAAACCCTCCGAAAAACTTATCCTTTCTGTTTTCTCACTCGGTGATTGCTATCATATGCTAAGGAGTGAGATCAAGAGACATTTTTTCACACTGGAATCTGGAATTCTCCCTCTTTCCCAAAGTCTGTGGATACAGGATCTGATCAAAATTTTCAAGACTGAGGTGGATAGATTTTGTTAGGTCAGGGATATAAGGCAAAGGTAATTGGAGTTGAGGTACGGATCATCCATAATTTAATAGAATGGCGGAACAGGCTTGAGGGGCTGAATGACCTTCTCCCGTTCCTATGTTCCTGTTCAGCACTTTGTGAAAGGTGCTTATCTAAGCTGTTGGCAAACGAAGGCTTCTGATTATATTCCATTGAGTGTTTTTCCTCAGAAACCCAAGGTGAAACACCGCTTTAGCTCCAATTCTCTCAAAAATTGTGAAAAACAAGTACAGTTCAATGCAATAGATATAACATTTAAAAATAGTTTCTTACATAATACTGAAGGATTTGGCTTTTTTGACATTTTTAGTTTAAACAGATGTGTTTCTGTTGACGTGGTTTCATTATTTTGTGATTTTTGGCCTCAGGATATCAGAGCCAATTTTCAGACCAAGTGAGCTGTCAGGCTTTGCTGTTTATGCCTTAACCTTCTGGAGGCCAGGAGCCTGGATCTAACAAAGGAGTGGGTGAGGTGGGAGGACATCTCAAAGCACTTCATAGAATTTTACTGTAAACTGTAGTGACCGTATTTGTAATAACAGCAACAAGTTACATTTATAGAGAGCTCTTTACGCAGGGTATCATCCCGGAGCACTTGAGACTTGTAGGCGAGGAATGGTAAAGAACAGGGAATTGGAATTAGCTCCAGTGGAGGAACAAGAACCTACACAAACACTGAAGTGAATGATCTCTTTGTCTTATAGCAGCCCCAGTGCTATCCTGCCTCAGCAAACAGTCTGGCGCTTTATTAATGCACGTTGTAAATAAATTGTGGCATTGGTTTGTCTGTGCTCCTAGGTTGACTGGAGCAAATACATTGCAGTAAATGGAGCAACAGCCCATCCACATTATGACCCTGATGGAACTAGCTACAACATGGGCAATTCATACGGCAAAAATGGTATGTTTATAATAATAATAATAATCCTACATTTATTATAGCATCTCTCAAAGCGCTTCACAGGAAATACTGTAAAGTGAATTGACTGTATATGTTGTGGGTGAAACGCGGCAGCCAATTGCGCACAGCAGCGTCCCACAAACTCATAATACTCCCTCAATTTTATATTTTGAGGGATCATGCCTCCAGAAAGCGATCCACCAATCGAATAACAACCGGGTTCCTACTTACTGCAAGGTAAACAGAGGCGTATTCAGTAAGGAAACTTGCCTAAGGTTTCGTCCCGCCCAAATTGAACCCGTGTTTTCTCGCTTGCGAGACCACTATGCTACAGAACTCTCATCATATAATATACAGCATAAAGGAATATTTAAATCACTGAGAGGACTTCCAGGCAACCCTACTCTTGCATTATAATTTGCAACATCTTCTACTTCCTCAAGATCCTCAATTTCCAGCCAGTGTAAAAAGGCTGGAAATCGAAGTCATGAAACAAAGAAAGTTCACTGCCTTGTAATAGTGACAAACACAGCATTTCCTTAACAAATACAAACTACAAGATTTCAGGACAAAGGCATTTTATGGGTGCAATGGATCCCATCCTATTTGTGTTCGGAGCCCTTGCAAAATGGGAAATTTCCATTCCGATCGGGATTACGACTCTACAAAAGAGGAATTTGCTGAGCCGTAAGTGAGAAAATGAGAATCTCTTTGAACTTTAGGCGTAAGTGATGTTTAGTGATTTGCAAGATTATCGTCTTTGAAGCGGCCCTTTGTAAACTTGTCAAAGCAATCGTTTCCAATCAAGCCACAACGTGCAGTCAGTCGGCTTTGTTCATGTTCGTGGTATTGGCTCATTTGTGAGTGTTATTACCAGATTACATCTGACTCATCAGTTTTTGGCTTAGCTATCCTCTGCAATGCAGTTCAGCCCAAATCTCTCCTGTTCATTGGTGGAAACTGCTTTGTTTGGAAATTCCAAAAGCTAAATTTATGGACATCTCAATTGTAAAAGGTCTTTCTCAATGAGTATCTTGTTTCCCCATTTGACTCTCCACGAACTCCAATTCATCCAAAGCTCTGCCGTCCACATTCTCTCCCACTCTGTACACCCAGAACCCTCGTGCTTCCATCGAGCCCTCCGCCTTGCCCACCCCCCTCCCCGCCTTCAAATCCCACCTAAAGACCTCCCGTGCTTACGGTCACCTTTCCCTTGGCTCGTTGGCAGACCCTCCACCATTGTGAAATGCTCCTGGACGCTCCCCTGCGTGAAGGGCACTATATAAGTGCATGTTGTTGCTGTTGTTGCAGGTACGATGTACAACATTATCGAGGTTCCTGTGCAGAAGTCAGAAGATGAGGACAAACTCGAGGGGGCCAGAATTGTGTGTAGTATCCCACCACAGGATAAGATGCGACCTTCCTATTACCACAGCTTCGGTACGTGTTGACTGCTTGTAGCTAAGTTTAGAGAATGCTCGGAGTTATGTCTTAATTCGCTGAGAAAATTGGACTCAATATTTTTGCAGCCTGAAATACATTTCTATATTAGGTTCATAATGTGTATCACAGGGCTTTATTTTTAAAATTGACTGAGGACTCAGGCTTTAACCATAACCAATTTCACAAAGCGTTACCAGAGAGGCGAATAATTCATGTGTGTTGCCTTGCCACACAACTCAAATGCAATTAAAAGTCACATTGCATTTTCCAAGCAAAACAAGTCACTGTGGAGCCCTGTAGCTCAGTGGATTTGCCTCGCAAGTGAGGGGACACGGGTTCAATTCCCAGGCAAAACCTTAGGCAAGTTTCCTTACTGAATACACCTCTGTTTAACTCGCAGTAAGTAGGAAGTTGTTAGTCCATTGGCAGATGGATTTTGCGGGGCTAATAATGCCTCCAAAAGTCACTCAATCCACGAATATTGTTGGACGCTGCTGTGGGCAATTGGCTGCAGCATTTCACCCACAAAATATACAGTCAATTCACTTTACAATACATACTGTGAAGCGCTTTGAGACGTCTTGAAGACATGATAAGACGCTGTATCAAATTATTATTATTGAATCGTAAGGGGTCGACTGTTTTCAGCTCTGTACCTTTTTTAGANTTTTTTTTGACGCTGCACAGCACTGCACCAATCAGAAAGCGGCATTAACTCTTCACGTGCTCTCCATAACAGGAATGTCCAAAAACTACATCATCTTCATTGAGCAACCGTTGAAGATTAATATCATGAAAATTCTCACAGCCAAGTTAAGAGGAAAAAGCTTGAGCTCGGCGCTCACTTGGGAACCAGAGACCAACACCGTTATCCACGTGGCTCATAAACACACGGGGCAGGTACTTTACTGACCCTTTTCACCTCTAAAGTAATAACAACTTGGTCACTCAATCCACGGCTGTTTGTGGTGACGCTGCTGTGCGCAATTGGCTGCTGCGTTTCTCCCACAAAATATACAGTCAATTCACTTTACAGTATATCCTGTGAAGCGCTTTGAGACGTCTCAATGACGTGATAAGGTGGTATATCAAATGCAAGGATTATTTTTTTATTATTACAAAATACAGTCACCATGCTTCACAGTGAAGCCTATTTTAGATGTCCTCCTGACATGAAAGATGTTATTTAAATGTAAGCATTATTATTATATCTGTTAAATCGAATTTTTAACACAGGGCGAAAGAAATGGACTGAATAGACCATTGGAAATTTAAGTTTGCTGAAGTCGAGGCTTGTAAGATACTTAACCCCAAGCCTTGGCTTGGTCAGTCGGAGGCACCCTATTTCGGATGAGACATTAAGCTCAGATGGTACATTAAGGATCCTATGACAGTATTTACAAGGAGAAGGGAGTTCTCCATGTGGAAGACTGGTACACAATGATTCTACAATGATCTAAAACTCCGCCGCCCGCATACTCGCCCGTGCTAAACTTCATACCCATGTCACACCAGTTCTAGCCGGGCTCCACTAGCTCTCGATCGCCAAACGGATCGATTTCAAAATCCTCACGCTCGTTTTCAAGCCCCTTCACGCCCTGGCACCTCCCTGCCTCTCCGACCTGCTTACTTACCCCCCAAAACCACTACCCTCTGCCTCCGCTCGACTGGCTCCGGCCTCCTGCATGTCCCTCGTGCCCTCCGTTTCACCAATGGTGGCCACGGTTTCAGCCACTGCGCCCCGAAACTCTGGAACACTCTCCCGCTATCCCTCGACCTTGCCCCTTCCTTCCCCATTTTCAGGTCGCGCCTGAAGACAACAACAACAAACAGCAAATTACATTTGTGTAGCGCCTTTCACGTCAGGAGGACGATCTTCCAATTCGACCGTGCCTACGGTCACCTCCCCCCACCGGCTCGGTGTTGTGCCCTGCCACTGTCAAGCGCTTTGCGACGCTGCCCTGCATGAGGGTCGCTGTGTAAATGCAAATTGTAGTTGTTGTTGTGCACTCTCATTTCCATGGTTTGAATAGAATAAAAGCCAGAGGCAGAATGAATGTGTAAAGTATAATTTAGGGCTTCCTGCCTCATGTTATTTGGATGCTGGAAGTGAAATGGCTTAACTCCAGCATTATGAGCAAAGGCATGGAAGTATTCACTGGTTCACATGAAGCAATAACAGATTAACTGTCCAAAACACTGGCAAGGATTGAATTATTTTGGTGACACTGTAAATTGCCATTTTGTTTCAGATATGGATAACATAACAACAACAACAACAACAAGATTCCATTTATAGAGCGTCTTTCACGTCGGGAGAACGTCCCAAGGCGCTGTACAGTTGGGTCAGGACCCGAGCATTGGGGGGAAATGGTCAGGGTGAGGGGAGGGAAGGGAGGGAGCGAGGAGGGGGTAGAGAGTCGAGAGGGGAGCTGAAGGCACGGTCAAAGAGAAAGGTCTTGAGACCGACCTTGAAGGAGGAAAGGGAGGAGGCGGCGAAGGCACTGGGGGATAGAGTTCCAGAGTCATAACATAACATAACATAACATAACATAACATAACATAACATAACATAACATAACATAACATGCAGGAGCAAGAGTAGGCCATTCGGCCCTTCGAGCCTGCCCCGCCATTCAATCATGGCTGATCTTCTAAAATAATAAAGAAGACTGTGAATGAATAAATCAGTGTGTTTTGACAGACTGATTAACCCTGCAATTAAGGCCTGTTTGAATTATTAACCAGGGTTTATTTGAAAATTTCTTTGCAGATACTTCCTGTGAAATATTACTCCAAACCGCTTACAACTTTCCACCAGATCAACGCCTTTGAAGACAATGGATTTATTGTCTTCGATCTTTGCAGTTTCGACGACGGAAATATTGTGCACACTTTAACTATGCAAAACCTGCACAAATCTGGAGAGGCACTGGACGAGGCAACCATTTGACTTCTTCTTTTGATTGGTTTGAATGTTAACCCTGCAAGCCACAGAGGGTAGGGTGGTCCTAGGTGGACAAGCTCCGGGAAAGCTTGCCAGACAGTGCTTTCAATGGTTAGCTGGTTAGACTCCAGCAGTTACCCCCAACGCACACTCTGGGCTTCCCCAAAAACCTTGGTTCTTGCCAACCTGCGCTTAATACTTTCCAAAATTAGGTTAAGCGGATGCATCCCTCCAGAGAGAGAGAGAGGGGGAGAGAGCGCATTCCATTCCAACAATCTCTCTCTAGGATTTCCATGTGTAGGAGGGATGTCTGGAAATCTCAGCTTCATTTGGAAACTCTTAAGCAACAATGATGGATTTCCGCGTGTGTCAGACACCCGGCTGACCCCACCCAACAAAAAAATACTTGGAAGCAACAATTTGAATTTATGTAGCGCACTTCACACAGAATAATGCTTCAGAGTTCTTTATATTGGCGGTGTGGACACTGAGTATTGGAGGAGGGGAGGGGGGAGTGGGGGAGAGAAACACTGACAGAGACAGATACTGAGGGGAGGGGTCAGCAGGGTTGAGTTTCCAAAGGTTAGGGGCGTAGAATTGGAAAGTTTGACCACTGATGGTGGTGCGTGTAGAGTTGGGAAACGTGTAGCAAGTCTGAGTTAGTGGTGGGAGCAGAGGAGTGGAGTAGGAGAGACGTTGTCACAATATGTTGTCATATTAAATGGTTACTGATCTGTAAAATATGTGGGGTTGGGAAGGCATTATTTTGCAGTTCCGAGATGCGTCCTAATGCTTTCGAATTTATTTTGTCTTTCAGCTGTACAACACAATTCCCAAGCCAACCCCGATCAGGTTTGTTTTACCGTTGAGCATCAAATCAGACACACCGATTGAGCAGAACCTGAACACTTTGCCTTACAGCACTGCCGTTGCAATCAGAAAAGCTGATGGAAAAGTATGTTTGTAGTTAAACAACAACAACAATTTGCACTTACATAGCACCCTCCACCAGGGAGCGTCTCAGAGTGCTTAACGGTAGCGGAGCCTGACTCCGATCCGGGGGTGGTGTGAGCAGGTAGCTGTAAGCGCGGTCGAAGAGGAAGGTTTTCAGGCAGGACTTGAAAAATGGGAGAGAGGGGGCAAGGTGGAGGGATTGAGGGAGAGCGTTCCAGAGTTTTGGGGCTTAATGGCTGAAAGTGCGACCTCCGATGGTGAGGCGGAGGGTGCGAGGGACGAGCAGGAGCTGGTGCCAGTTCTGCTGAGGCACCGCGGGTGGATTGGGGAGTCAGGAGGTCGGAGAAGGTGAGAGGTGCCAGGGAGTGAAGGGATTTGAACACGAGTGAGCATCTTGAAGTCGATCCGTTTGGTGATGGGGAGCCAGTGGAGCCTGGGCCAGAACTGGGGAGATGGGGGTTAATTCAATGCAGAGGCGCCATTTACTCACCGAGTATCATTCCCCGGTGGGACAACATAGTCGCATGAAATATTTGGGGAGTTGTTTGTTTATGGTTAATTCACTACCAAAGACAGTACTTGATCTCACAGTACACGATACAAAAGGCAATCCACTTTAAGATTGCACCATGATCCTTGTTTTTATGCATTATTAGTTTTAGTAGGTCCTTCAAAACAAAAATAAATAGACTGGTCGCTTAATTGCTGCTGCGTTTCCCCCACAAAATAAAGAATCAATTCACTTTACTGTAACCTTTGAGATGTCTCAACAAATGATGGGGCACTATATCTAACGCAAGGATTATTATTATTATTATTATTATTATTATCAAACTCCGAGAAGGATGGGTGAAGTGCGGTGAAGAGGAACCTATTGATTTTGTTCCCGCAGATCTGGTGCAAGTCCGAGAACCTATACGATGCTGATATGATGCATGAAGTCAACCTGGAGTTCCCACAGATTAACTACAAATCGTACAACACAAAAAAATACACTTTCCTCTATGGCTGCGGACTAAGCAGTTTGATTCCGACTTCTCTCCTAAAGCTGGATGTCAACACAAAGGAACTGAAGGTGTGAATGTTAGTCTTCCAGCCTGTCGGGATATGGCGCCTCGCAACTGGAAACAAACTCCTCGGGAAGTAAAATCCATCTCCTCCAGGCAGCCGTGTGTGATCCACACTGTTCCTTTAAAATGTTTTAAGATATCATTAATGTCTCTTAGCATAGTGGTTAGAGCGCTCTCCTCACAAGCGAGAGGACCCGGGTTCGATTCCAGGGCGGGGTGAAACCATAGGCAGGTTTCCTTACTCCACACACCTTACCAGCAGTAAGTAGGAACCTGGTTGTTAGTCGATTGGTGGATTGTTTCCTGGAGTTAATAATCCCTCAAAAAAAAATTTCAGATTGGTCACTCAAAGATTGGTCACTCAATCCACGACTGTTTGTGGGACACTGCTGTGCGCAATTGGCTGCTGTGTGGAAAGTCAATGCACTTTACATTATATTCTGTGAAGCGCTTTGAGACGACATCTCAATGATGTGATAAGGCACTATATCAAATGCAAGGATTTTTATTAGAATTATAGTCCTACATGAAAGGCGCTATATAAACTCACACTCTTGCAAAACACGACCCCACTTTCCAGATAACCATTTCCTTGGGGAAAATGCTTGTTCCTTCAGCGTAGTTTCCACCGGGTCTCCAAAGTGCAGCGCTGTTTGTGGTTTCTTCACTGAATCTCTCTGATCTTCTCAGGTGTGGAAGGAGGAAGGCTACTACCCCTCAGAGCCTATCTTTGTTCCGTCTCCTCAAGGCACCGAAGAAGATGACGGGGTGATCTTATCCACAGTGCTTTCACCTAACCAGGTAACTGGAAACCAACTTAGAATCACAGAATCATGTGAAGTCCTGTAGCTCAGTGGTTAGAGCACTCGCCTCGCAAGCGAGACACCTGGGTTCAATTCCAGGCAGGGTGAATCCTTGGGCAAGTTTTGTTACTCCACACGCCTGATAATAATCGCTCCATAAAACAAAACAATAATAAATTGGTCATTTTCGATCCACGACTGTTTGTGGGACACTGCTGTGCGCAATTGGCTGCTGCATTTTGCCCACAATATACGGTCAATTCACTTTACAATGTATTCTGTGAAGCGCTTTGAGACGTCTAGAAGAGTGAAAAACGCTATATCAAATGCAAGGATTATTATTATTATTAATCCTACAACACAAAAAGCAGCCATTTGGCCCATTGTGCCTGTGCCGGCTCTTTGAAAGAGCTACCAACTAGTCCCACTCCCCCATAGTTCTTGCACATTTAATTCAGATTGGAGAGGATACTAGCAAATAACAGTTAAATCCGGGTTAAATCCATTTATGATGCCTTACCCTTTCCCTTTAAATCCATCTTCGTACAATACAGTCAGTTCGCAACCCCAAAAATACACAGTCACTTCATTTGGTAGCAACCCCCTGTGAAAAGTTTCAGAATTATAGGCAAATAGAAGGACATAGAAACATAGGAATGGGAGGAGGCCATTCAGCCTCTTGAGCCTGCCCCACCATTCATGGCTGATCTGTACCTCAACTCCAATCACCCGCTCGCTTGCCCTATATCCCTTAATACCCCCTGACCTAACAAATTTCTATCTATCTCCGTCTTGAAGAGAGATCTTTTCTCCTCTCTTGCTGTCACGAATCGCGATACGTTGTCTCTGTGATCCATTCCACGTCCCCAATTGCTAACATCATGAATCGTAATTATTCTCAAACTGGGATTTCTCTCTCTCTCTCTCTATCTGTCTCTCTCTCTCTATAAACATCACTCTGTTGCCTTGTCAGGACAAGAACTTCCTGCTTGTGCTGGACGCAAAGAGCTTCACTGAGGTTAGCAGGGCCGAGGTACCCATCCAGATTCCCTTCGGATTTCATGGAGTCTTCACCCAGCGCTAGAGCCAATCGAGGCGCTCTGCTTATGCCTGGATCTCACAACGTTTCAATTACAACTCAACTAACGTTTCTGCCTGTACTGAGGGAAATGACAAGATCAAATCCGTACAGTTAACCTTACTCTATCATGATTCATTATTCAGGTTGTGTGTTAAGTGTAAATGTCGAACTACATCTAGGCTTTTGGATGACCCAAGAACCAAATGATGGTGTTCGCAAGCTGGTAAGAGGGTCTAGGGGAGAGATCCATAAGCAGCAATCACCGTCAGTTGAGTAATGATCCCAGTTATTAATTGCTTATTAACGCTTGTGCAGAAATATACCAGTCTTCAAATAGGTAATTAAAGACCACGCTTTATATTCAGTTGCTTTATATGGCCATTGGCTACAGGGCATACATACTTAATAGGTTTAGCAAAACGAAGTAACTAGAGCTTGATAATGAGTTTGCCATCAATATGAGAGCCATGGCTGACGTTCCAGTGAAGTGCTGAGGGGGAGCGAAGCATTGTCGGAGGTGCCATCCTTTAGGACCAGACGTTAAACCGAGATCCCTTCTGCGCCTGTTCAGGTGGACGTTAAAGATCCCGAATCAAAGAGAGAAAGGAGTGTCTGACTGGCCAATAGTCCTCATTATATTTGTCTGCGTATCGTGATTGTGGGCAAAGTGCCTACAATACACAGTCACTACATTTGACAGCAGTTGGCTGTCAAGGTTTTTGCTGTATAATAATTTGAGATAATCATTCCATTATTTCTACCTTTTATACAATATTTGTATCTTGTCAGTTAAAATGTCACACTGTTTGTAAATAAAAGCTGTATAAAATACCCACACGATTTCTTGCTCTCGTCTTCCACAGGAAGAGAGATAACATTGACCGGAAACTATCATTTTTTCAATCACTGAAATGAAGAGCATTTGCTGAGGGAGGGAAAGCAACTCGCGAGCTCTGCTTATCCATTGCATTCGTGAACCAAACTCCCAGGTCTAACTGAAGAGTGAGGATTTGTTTTCTGATAGGAAGCATCTGGTATCACCCCAGTTGTCCACAGTTGGAGTTGGAAGCTTACTGTGTGAGGCGCTGTGAGCTGTCTATGTGATCCGCTGTATATCCGCACTGATCACATCTCCGAGTCCTTGATTCATGCACTGGCCTTGTGTATTGAAACATATACAACGTCTTGGTAGTTGTCCATTGGCTCATTCTGCTCGGAGCCTCTACTCAGGTTCTGAATGCATGCGTAGGTGATCTCTTCGCTGTCACTCAGTGCCGAGGCAGGGGTTGTGTTGTACTTTTGTGACATGGAGTCTGCCGTTTCATTACTAAAGCACTCTGTCACCCCGGACTGCTGAACCTGCTGATGTATATGGCAGAAACAGTGTATGAGAGTCCCGTAGCCTTGTGGTTAGAGCGTTCTCCTCACAAGGAAGAGGACCCGGGTTTGAGCAAACCAATATTTCCCCCGATCAATCTCTACAGACCATCTAGCAGTATCTATCAATCAATTGATTGATCAATCAATATGATCAACCAACCAATCAATTAATCAATCGAGAAGCTTTGAGGAGTGAAGGAACATTGAATATCATATTGTCTACAGGCATTGTGGAGAGTGAGACTGGCTTCCTAGTTGAGATGGAGGGGAACAGTCAGCAAGTTCCAAGTTTTTTTTTAAACACAATTAATCTCCCTTTATTTAAAATGCCCGGCTCATTTGGTACCACCAAGTTCAGATTTTGAGCTCCTTTAACACTTCCGCACAATACTGATGGGTGGGGTGGTGGGGAAGGGGAGAGGGATGGGTGGGGGAGACATTGCATTTCATAGGAATCACCCTAAACATGAATCTGAGACTCTGACCGTGCCTGTACAGGTGGACATCGAAGATACCCAAGACCTGATTGGATTGGAAGAAGAGAAGGTGTGTCATTTCCTGATGCGTTGACCAACAACCTCTCCGATAAATTGAACAGTGACTTCGCGGTTGTGAGTGGGATGTTTGCTACGTTCAAAATAGCTGTTGCTTTTTCCTACCAAAAGCACAGTCACTCCATCAGGCAGTGATTACTGTGAAGAGCTTTGAAGAGCTTTTAGCTTATCTAACTGAGCCCTGGTCAATCCGGAGGTTGTGCAAGGCCCTAGAGGCAGTGTGGTTGAGAGCAACAAGGATGATCCGCAGAGATGGAAAAGGGGAAGGTATGAGAATTGGTTAATACTTTGTGGATTCCTGTAGCGTAGTGGTTAGAACACTCGCCTCGCAGAGGAACTGGACTCAATCCCAGGACAGGGTGAAACCTTAGGCAATTTGCTTTACGCATACACCTCTAATTTACCTAGCAATAAGTAGGAACCCTTATTAATAGGATTATTATTATCATTATTACTTCAGAAACTTGTTGAAACGTGAAAAACTAACCTGAGACTCAAAGCTAACAGTCTGGTCTGAAGATCCCCTGGAAAGGAAAGGAAGGAGTTATTTTAGGTTCAGCAAAATGAGTTGAGCTACATAGTAATAATAATAATACTCCTTCCATTTGATATAGCGCCATATCAGGTCTGCGATACGTCTCAAAGCGCTTCACCGAATAAACTGTAAAGTGAATTGACTGTTTTTTGTGGGCGAAACGTAGACTTGCCTTGGGACGTCCTCCCGGCGTGAAAGGTGCTTTACAAAGGCACCTCCCTACCCCTCCAAATACCCCAAATTGGTTGCTGTGTGTGTGTGTGAGGAGCATTGATAGCACCGATTAGCTGCCGCACTCACCTGTACAACTATTCGGTATCTCGGTCTTCACTTCCCATTGACTTTACTTTATAAAAGTAGTGAGACATACAGTTTGTGGGGAGGGACGTTGCTGTGCGCAATTGGCTGCCGTGACTTGCCCACAAAATACACAGGTCACTCTGCAGTATATTCTGTGAAGCGCTTTGAGACGTCTCTACGATGTGATAATGTGCTGTATCAAATACAAGGATTCTTCTTTGCATTGTCGCAAAGAGCTTCACGGGTGTTTATTTTGTGTGAATGACACTGTCTGTAAGTGCAAATTTTTATTGAGTTATCGATCTCAGTTGGGTGGGGGGGTGTGGGGTGGGGGGAGAATGGTGCTGCAGTAAAGTTTTTCTGATTAACCTCAGTGTCTTCTCCACTCTCCATCCTTCTGTAAAAGGCAGAGATTGAGAATGTTTTAGCCCAATTATTTTCCGAGCGTGGTGACCCCGAGATACGAGTCGTGTTGACAATGGAAGATGGCTCTTGGCCCTCCGCAAACAGAAGCGAAATTTCCCACAAGCTGTGATTTACTCTATAAACCCCGTCCCACCAGTAACCAGAGTCAGTGGGAAGCTCTAGATCTGGAGAGAGAGCAGAGCATAACAATTCGCCACACCTTAGCAACAGCGACCCCTGTTGCTGAGAAAGATAGCGAGAAGGTGGATTTCTCTGCAGTCCAATGTCAGGACTGGAGCTGATCTGACTCCATGTCCTGGAAAGTGCAGCAACTTTGACAACTCCGACAAAATCCCTCACTGTAACTTCAACAGGAACCGTCTGTCAAGTGCTTCGAGATGCCTCGATGTTATAGGGGCTGTGTACGGAACCCGTAGTGGAGTCCTGTAGCTCCTTGGTTAGAAGAGCACTCGACTCGCAAGCGAGAGGCCCCGGGTTCAATTCCCAGCCGGGCGGGGAGAAACGTTGGGCAAGTTTCCTTACTCCACGCACCTCTCTTTGCCTAGCACTAAGTAGGAACACGGTTGTTAATTGATTGGCGGATCGATTTCTGGAGGTAATAACATTTTGGTCATTCGATCCACGACTGTTTATAGGACTCGTGCTGTGCACAATATGCTGCTGAGTTTTGTCCACAAAATACGCCATCAATCCACTTTATAGTATATTCTGTGAAGCGCTTTGAGACGTCTCAACGACATGATAAGGCACTGTATCAAATGCAAGGGTTATCATTATAATTAACCAAAGATCAGCACAGCCAATGAATCTACCGACTGTGAAATAAAACTCGACCAGAGGTGAAATGTTTCTCTTATTAGAGCGAAAGTTTAAAGCTTTTGAAATATCACTCGAATCCTACCTTGACGCTCGCACCAGATTCCTGATGTTTGGCAGCGAATGAATGAAAAAAACTGTCGGGAGCAGCACAAAGACTAACAGAAGAATAACGCTGATTTCTACAATCTTCAGGTCACGCGATGTTGTCTTATTTGAATGACCTGCGATAAACAAAAGTAGGATTGGAGTCAGAGACAGCACACACAAGTCACGACTTATTGATAACCCTGAGATTTCATACAATGTATTTCACTGCAAACAAATCTGCGGAAAGACTATTTCAGTGAGCGAGTAGTAAACATATGGAACAGGCTCCCGAGGGAGACAGATGGTGGAAGCAGAAAGTTTCGATTCTTTCAAGAACAAATGAGATAGATTTCTGTTAGGAAATAATATCTGAGGGATGCAGTAGATAGTTTGGGACATAAATGTACCACGATGGTAGAAGGCAAACTGGATGGACTTGTTTCATCTAGCAAATTCTTATGCTCTTCTGTTGGGAGGATGTCTCAAACCGCCTCACGGGATTCATGTAATGTGTAGTGACTGGTCTTTGCAGGTAAACTTACATGGGCAAATCCCAGAAATTGGCTATTTGTCCCATCGGGTCTGTGCTGGTGTTTTTCCCCGACTTGAGCTCCCTGGTGAGATTCCGCTCTCCTGCTCGCTCTCCCCCTCCCCGCACCTCCCCCCGCCCCAGCCCACGCCTTCCGATATTCCTCCTCTTCAAGTATCTGTCAGATACTAATCCACGAATCACACAGTCACCACTCTTCACAGTAAATGCCGTGGAGCACTTTGAGATGCCTTCTGCATGTAAAAAGGCATAGTAAATGGTATTTCAATTCACTTTACATCAGGATATTCTGTGAAGCGCTTTGAGATGTCTTGACACTGCGATAAGGTGCTATGTTGAATGCAAGGATTATTATTATTTACACGGAACAGTGTAAGTACAGACCTGTGATGTCCTCGGTCACAGTGGATAGAGTGGCAGGAATCCAGGTGGTAAACTTGTCATCTGAAGGCAAATCAAACTATTAAACAAAATTCACATTCCTCTCCTCCCCCACCCCCCTGCACACACACACACACACGCGCCACCACCAACCCACCCCTATCAGGCATAATCATTTATTCCAACATTCAAAAAAATTCCTCTTCCAGATGAATCTAAGTCTGTCCGTCCGTCCATTCGTCCGTCTGTCTGGCCACTGCCCGTCCAACCTGTGCCTAATACACTCCAGAATTAGGTGAGCACATGCATTCCTCCAGTGAGACAAGCAGCGGGAAAGCTTGGCCAGACAGCGCTCCCAATGGCAAGCTCTGTGGGTTTAACTGGTTAGACTCTAGCAGTTACCCCAACGCACACTCTGGGGTCCCCAAAAGCCTTGGCTCTCGCCAACCTGCGCTTAAAATTTTCGGAATTAGGTAAGCGGAATGCATCCTTCCAGGGAGAGAGAGAGAGCGAGAGAGAGCGAATGCTGCCTGGACCGCCCCACCATTGGCGGTTGGACCTTCAGCCTCTCCGCTCCCACCCTTTGGAACTTCATACCACAGTCCCTTCGCCTCGCCCCCTCCTTTGCCGCCTTCAAAGGCCTGTCTCAAGTCTCTCCTCTTTGGTCATCCTGTCCCCTACCCTGCTCGCCCTCCACTCTTCCCTGACCCTGACTGTCCAGCGCTTTGGGAGATCCTCCCGATGTGTAGATGTCATTTGTTGTTGTTGTTTGGAGACGGGGTGGGGTGGGGCGGGAGAGAGAGTTGCCCACCTTGCTTGACGCTGAGAGTCACGACGTTCTGATAATGAGCTGCTCCCTGCTTGATCTTACAGTGATAATTGCCGCTGTCGTTTAGCTCCAGGGACCTGATGTACAGGGAAGCGTTTCCTGCCCAGACATTGTTCGAGGCAAAGGAGAATCTCTCGCTCTTCGGAGGGGAAAGGCAATTGTAAACTACTCCACCGCTGAACATCATTATCTGCAAGAAAATAGGATCGAAGGCTTTCATTAATAGTCCTCGCATTCCAACAGAGACCATCGCGCATCGGGAGCTTAACCATTCCCCCCCCAACATTTTCTCTCCAACACTTTACACATAATAATAACAGTGGCTTTTTCTACAACTGCATTCTCACCACAGGAGACGTGACGTTTCCAACAAGCATCCATTCGATGTCGAGGTGGTTTTTGGTGTCGACCCCCATGTCAGCCCAACACGGCAACCTCACACCCCTTCCCTCCACCGCCTGAATCCTCGTGTGGTTCTTAGTCTCCACTACCACTGTGTCAAGAGGAACACAGGACACAACGGGTTAAATAATAATAATAATAATTATTATCCTTGCATTTGATTCAGCGCCTGTATTTTTTTGAGGGATTATTGTCCATGGAAAGTGAGTGGGTGCTTTCTAGCCAGGGTTCCACAGTGAAGGGGAGGAGGGGGGGACGTTTCCATCAACAGACATTCATCACGCACACCCACAGGAATTCTCAAAGCCGTCACATTACCCACTGTGAAGTGTAGTGACTGCGTATTTTGCGGACAGTTCAGTACCTTTAAGATTAATATTCATCTCATAGATTTTTTTTAGAACCATAGAAATTGGTGGCACAGAAATAGGCCATTCGGGCCATCGCAGGAGTCCTGTAGCTCAGTGGTTAGAGCTCTCGCTTTGCAAGCGAGAGATCTGAGTTCAATTCCAGGCAGGACGAAACCTTGGGCAAGTTTCCTTACTCCACACGCCTAATAATAATCCCTCCAAAAAAAAAAAACAAAACAATAATAAATTGGTCATTTTCAATCTACGACTGTTTGTGGGACATTGCTGTGCGCAATTGGCTGCCGCGTTCGCCCACAAATATACAGTCAATTCACTTTACAGTCTATTCTGTGAAGCGCTTTGGGACGTCCTCCCGACGTGAAAAGCGCTATATCAAATGCAAGGATTATTATTATTATTATTATTATCGAGTTTCAGAACAAAACCAATGTTAAACCAATGTACAGAGTGGCCATAAAGTCCTGTTATCCCTTGGCCTGAATACAATTAAGTGCTGTACTGTACATCTAAACACACTGACCATCTTTGTTCCACATGTTTTCAATTGTTGGTGAATACCATGAGGGTAACAGGACTTTGTGGCCACCTTGTACACAAACAACTAATAATAATCTTATAATAATAATTGCATTTGATATAGCGCCTCATCACGTCTTCAAGACGTCTCAAAGCGCTTCACAGGATACACTGTACAGTGAATTGACTGTGTATTTTGTGGGCGAAATTACATTGATATAGTACTTTTCATGTCGGCTGTTACAGTTTACTTTGACGCGTTCCACTTTATCAGCGATGCTTTACATAAGTGCGATACCTCTGTGAGGCCATTTTGTTTCAGCGATGTGTGTCTGAGAGTGTGTGTGTGTGAGTATGAGAATGTGTGTGTGTGTGAGTGTGTGTGTTTGAGAGTGTGTGTGAGAATCTGTGTGAGTGTGTGTGTGAGAGTGTGTGAGAGAATGTGTCTGAATATGTGAGTGTGTGAGTGTGTGTGAGGATGTGTGTGTGCGTGTGGGAGAACTGAAACCGTTTCAGTGTGTTGTTAAACACCTTCAATCACGGTTAACAAAAAAAAAAAAAATTCTTCTTGAAATGTTGTTTCACATCTCTCGCGTTCTCCCCATCACACCAACGAACTTTGGCTCATTGGCCCTTCTCTCTCTCTCTCTCTCTCTCTCTGCCTTCACAGCCGGTCCAAACGCCTATCTCTTTGACCGCTTAACAAGCTCATTCGTCCCCCTTTTCTCACGCCTGCTCCAACTGCTCCCCGGGTGGAAGGCGCCGTGTTATTTTGACCTCAGCAAACAAATCGCAGCAAGTGCTAAAAATAATAATAACCCCGAAAACTGCACTAGCGACGCAAGGCGATTGCAAAAAAAAAACACACAGACCCCGACACAAATCGTCCACCCGACAAAACTAGGCGTTCGCAACCATTAAGAGATAAGAAATAAGTAAAAAAAATTGTGTGTGTTTGTGTTTTGTTACGACAAAAACACATACACACACGTCTCACCGGGTGTCCAGCAGAAGAAACAGAATATTATCAGAAAACACCTTTCGTCCATTGTGTTCATTCTCCACCGTTCGACTGCGATTACGCTTTGCAGCTTGGATTTCCGCTACTTGGATAGTTTTTTGGGGGGCCGGGCGGGGGGGAGGGGTGGGGTGGAATCGCCTTTTTCTGGTCGAAGGAGGGCGAGGGGAGGAGGAGTTGGGGCGGGTGGGGGGGCGGGTGGTGCAAACCGTGCTTGAGTTCCCACGGTTCGGTTGATAGGCTGAGACACGTACAGAGGTTCTGATACCTGGGAGCTTCTCTGGAGGACTGAGTTCAACCGGTGTAGACGCCTTATCTCGATGATGTTGTAAAAAAAACCCACATCCGTTTGTTTCATGACGAACGTGTTCCAGAAGTGACCTGGAAAAGCAGGCTCTGATCAGACCTCTGCCTCAACCACAAAGATCCTTGTCTTCGACTGTGCCTTCGGCCTCCACCCTTCCTGCCCTCCACCCCTCCTGAACCCAACCCCCAGCTCGGGTTCAGATCCCTGACCGTCCAGCGCCTTGGGACGTCCTCCTGACGTGAAAGGCGCCGTGTAAATGTCATTTGTTGTTGTTGTTGCTGTCCTCCGGGTCCTGTTGTTGTTTCGTTCGCTCAATTTGTACTGAAACAATACTATATAGATATAAAGACTATAAAACGTGTAAAAAACAGAAAAATTCCCACATTCTGCTTTCTACACGTCAAACACTGTTCTTTCTATCCATCCCCACCCAAAAAAAATTTGGTCACATCTGTTTGTGGGGCACTGCTGTGCACAATTGGCTATCACTTCACTCACAATAAACCCAATCAATTCACTTTACAGTAGATTTACAGTAGATCTTGTGAAGCACTTTGAGATGTCTCAACGACGTGATAAGGCACTATATCAAACTCCAGGATTATTATTATTTTCATTATTATTACTGGGGAAGTAGAGAGAGAGGGGAGGAGGGAGAGAGGAGAGTGCACAATCCTAGTCCAGCACCAGACAACGAGACCAGCAGTGGAGGAGAGGACATTAGATGAAGTAGAGCAACCGAAATGTCACGCTGTGTGTTAAAAAAACAAATCACCTCTTCTTGCAGAGACGTATTTGCTGTTATTCATCATAGCATTGGTGTGAAACTTTTACATTAATTCTATTTGTCTGTGGCTTTCACAGGACGAGCAACTGATGAACTCTGTAGCGGGTAAGTCTTCATACATATTTCACCCACAGCCAGTGTCTTTCTTTCTGCAACGAATAGATTTGCAAAACCCCTTGCAAGAAGAAGACGGTGGAGAGGGTTACGAAAGAGAAAGTGACCTGTCAGCACAGAGTGATTCACTGTTAGCGCTTTGTTGGCAGTTGCTCTGATGGTACCTCGCGTGAAGAGTGTGATATAGTATAAATGCTGTGCCTCGTTGTTGGCGTCTCGTTTGTGGGATACTGTTGTGTGCAACTGACTGACGCCCACAAGATACACAGTCAATTCACTTTGCACTATATCCTGTGTTGAAGCGACTTGAGATATCTTAATGATGTGTGTGATAAGGCGCTATATTATATGGAAGACTTATATTATTATTATGTCATCTTCATCACATCTGACGGACGGATAAATGGGGGGAGGATGTGGTGGTGGAATTATAAAAAAATTAAAACCCTGAACTTTTTTTTGGAGTGGGGAGTGGTGTCTTGCAGAATAAAAACTGTCTGATGCGAAATGAGGACATCCTGTGGAGATCTGCAGGGTAGGGGTTAGCGCGCTCGTCTTGCAAGCGTGAGGACCGGGGTTCGATTCCCAGCCAGGGGGCGAAACACTGGGCAAGTTTCCTTCACTCCACACGCCTCTGCTTACCTTGCAGTGAGTAGGAACCCGGTTGTTAGTCGATTGGGGTATTGTGATAACCCCTTCAAAAATAACTGATAATAATTTGGTTATTCAATCCACCACTGTTTGCTGTGCCCAACTGACTGCCTTGTTCTACCCACAAAATATGCAGTCCATTCACTTTACGCTATGTTGTGTGAAGCGCTTTGAGACGGCGATCGGACGTGATGAGGCGCTGCATCAAATGTAAGGATTATTATTATTTAATCACCCGTTTAACCGGCTTGTGACTGTCATGTTTCTGCACCGCCACCAGGTGACGCTACAGCATCACCACTTGCCCCGGGGACCCACACATCATGCGAACAACTTGACATAACGTCTGCAAAGTGTAGTGACTGGGTGTTTTGGAGATGAACCTGGCAACCGATTCGAGCACAGCGATGGACTGGACGCCACACAAAGAGCCACGGAGTGAGTGGTGAGTGGTGTTATCCGGGGGGAATTGTTGGCCAGGACACCGGGAGAGAGAAACTCTCTCCTCGTTCTCTTCTCCAAGTTCTGTCGAACGCAAGTAATAATAATATGGAGACTTATCACATCGTTGAGATGTCCCAAAGCTCCTTCACAGGATATAATAATCCTTGGGATTTGGTTAAACTGCACATAAGAAAGCATTGTAATAAATTGCCAATAAACGGGGATCAGAGCACAGGTGATACTGTCACAATCAATATAATCCTCGCATTTGATCCAACGCCTTATCACGTCTTCGCGACGTCTCAAAGCGCTTCACAGGATACACGGTCAAGTGCATTCATTCACTGTGCATCTTGTGGGCGAAACGCGGCGGCCAATTGCGTACGGCAGCGTCCCACAAACAGTCGTGGATTGAAAACGACCAATTTGCTTTCTGTATTTCATTTAGATTAAAAAAAATAATTCTGTAGCCATTCCACATAGATTTATATTTCTTAGGCTCTGGAACTCCATCCCCAGTGCCTTCGCCGCTTCTTCCCTTTCCTCCTTCAAGGCCGGTCTCAAGACCTTTCTCTTTGACCGTCAGCCTTCAGCTCCCTCTCGACTCTCTACCCCCTCCTCGCTCCCTCCCTCCCCTCCCCTCACCCTGACCATTTCCCCCCTCCTCGCTCCCTCCCTTCCCTCCCCTCACCCTGACCATTTCCCCCTCCTCGCTCCCTCCCTTCCCTCCCCTCACCCTGACCATTTCCCCCCCAATGCTCGGGTCCCGACCCAACTGTACAGCGCCTCGGGACGTCCTCCCGACGTGAAAGGCGCTCTATAAATGAAATCTTCTTGTTGTTATTGTTGTTATATTTTTTATTATCGTGATTTCGGTCCCATCGAAATCCATTTACTTTGGGAGAGTTTCTCAGTCTGGCCACTGGGTGGCAATGAAAGATCTCGTTCCATCTATTCTGCACTGTGTTTGTTCAGAGAACAACAATAACAACAACAACAACAAAATGACATTTTTTTTCTCGTTGCCTCCACGTCGGGAGAACGTCCACCAGTTCATCCCAATAAAAAGCCGGTGAACGAGACTTATCGTTTATATCAGATTTTTACGCAGAACCATACAAATGTATACAAATTTATCAAACAGTCGGCAATTACCCCCGGAATAGTTAAGATAATTGGCAAAATAATCGACAACAACTCACACTTATATAGCCCTCTCCACGCAGGGCAGCGTCCAGGAGCGCTTAACAGTGGCGGAGCCTGACTCCGAGCCGGTGAGGTGGGTGGGGGTGGCCGTAAGCACGGTCGAAAAGGAAGGTCTTCAGGCGGGAGGGGAGAGGGGGGGCAAGGTGGACGGAGTGAGGGAGAGCGTTCCAGAGTTTCTGGGTGTAGTGGCTGAAAGCGCGACCTCCGATGGTGCGAGGGACGAGCAGGAGCTGGTGCCAGTCGAGCGGAGGAGCCGGGTGGTGGGTTGGGGAGTGAGGGGGTCGGGGAGGGAGGAATCGGACACCCAGGTTGCGCACTGGTTCGATGAATCTGAGGGAGAACCAGGGAGGTTGAGGATTTCATCCGCAGGAGTGAAGACGTTGACGGGAGCCAAGGAGTATGGCTTCCATCTTGTCCACATTCAGCTGCAGGAAGTTTACACTCATCCCGGCCTTGATGTCTGCCAGACAAGCTGACAGAACATCGGCGGGACCTGGAGTTAGTACTGGAGGAGACAAAGTAGATTTGTGTGGGTACAAAACATACGTGTGGATGTGGACGATACACAAATCCATCAGAGGGGAGACCAGACGCAGCGAGTTGTTACGGTCTGGAACGTGTGCCCTGAAAGGGTGGAAACAGATTCGACAATAGCTTTCAAAAAGGAATTGGATATTTACTTAAAAAGGAAAAATGTGCAGAGCAATGGGGTAAGAATGGGGGAAAGGGACTAGTTGGCAGCTCTTTCAAAGAGCCGACACAGACACGATGGGCCGAATGGCCTCCTTCTGTGCCGTAAGATTCTATGATTCTATGAGATGTAAAAGGGTTCCTGTGACTCTAACTGGAACACAGAAGGGAGTTTTTCTCTCTCCCAGGATCCCGGCCAACAACTCCTCCACCGCAGACCATCACCTCGAGGCTAGGCCTCTTTCATGTTTTCCCCACAGCAGAAAAAAAATCTGATAAAATAATTATTAATTCCCTCGATTACCCTTGTCGGATTGTGTGCAAACTGTACAAACATGTTGTAAATTAAAGAGCCTTAATTCCGTTTTATTAGGAGTTCACACCTCATTATCTCTGTGAGATGGTGATGTATTTTACTGTACGCAGGGCTGAAAGATTAAAATTAAATGTAATGGTGCATAACATTCTCAACTGAGTGAAAATCAGTTCAAACCGGTGCGGCTAATAACTCTGCTGTTCTTAATTATTTTCCTCTTCAGACGCACTTTTTTTTTCCAATTAAACTTTGCGATTTTCCCTGAGGAATTACCTCTGTAAACACAGGGCACAAAGCGCTCCCGAGAACAATATTTTAAGATCTCTTTGAATTTCCTCCATCAAATCATTAAATGTTTACATAAATGAACTTGAAATTGCTTTGGGATGCGTAGGCTATCGCCCTGAATTTATTAGCAGCGGCAGATTTACCAGGATTTCAATCAGTGCATATTTTCTAAGTTGTCTCTGTATGTCTGTGCGTATGGGTGTGTGTGTGTCTCTGTCTCTGTTCCTCATTGTATGTGTGTGTGTGTCTGTGTTGTGTGTGTGTGTCTCTCTCTCTCTATCTCTTGTGTGTCAGGGTGTGTGTGTCCACATGTGTTTATCTGTGTGCGTATGTGTGTTTACGGATGTGTCTCTGCGTGTGCTATCGTGTATGAGCGTGGGTATCTATGTTGCGTGTCTCATGTTGTGTGTGTGTGTCTCTATCGGCGCGCGCGTGTGGAGACGTCCGTGCCACTTCATTGACACTTAGCAGAGCTTCGTGGCTGTGCACAAAATGGCTGTCATGTTTGCTTACAAAAATAGTCACTACACTTGACAACGTATTACTTGTGGGGGGGGGGAGGAGGAGGAGAGGGAGACAAGAGAGAACCGGTGGTGGTGAGGGGGGGGGAGAGAGGAACTGGTATTCACTTTAATCACTGAAATATATAGTTGAGTTAACAAGCTTCCCTCCTGCTGCCTAAGTCCGTGAGAGCTCAGTGCAGATAAACTGCCTTTGTTTAATTAGCTGTTGAGGAATGCAGGTGGGTCAGTGTTAGGAGATCGTTCACTAGTTGACAAGAAGTGACCGGTCAGAGATTAGTTCGCAGCTTTGTCTTACAGTATAGAGGAGCCATTACGCATGAGGTGAGATCTTGCGGGTCCCGCAATTCCTCTCCTTGGGCAAATTGGTCAATCGGGGGAATCGCTTTCCGGGCAAAATAATCCCTTCAATAAATAACCATAAAATTAATAATTTGGTCACTCGATCCACGAGGGTCTGCGCGCAATTGTCTGTCGCCCACAAAATATTCAGTCAGTTCACTTTGCAGTATATTCTGTGAAGCGCTTTGAGACGCCTCAACGATGTGATAAGGCGCTGTATCAAGGATTATTATTGTTAAATTCCTACCTGTTGACAACGACAAAGGGTGGGGGGGGGGGTGGGAGAGACAAAGAGAAATGAAACAAAGGTGATTTGTTTTGTTTTTGTGCACAATAATAACTGTAAAAAAAATAATCATCGCGTTTGATACAGCGCCTTTCACATCAGAATGACTCGCTGCGTAAAGTGACTGTGTTTTTTTGCGGGCAAATGCAGCAGCCGATTCGCGCAAAGCGACGCCCCAATAACAGGATTGGAACGAGCGGGCGATTTTATATATTGGGGGACTGGCGGGGAGGGGGAGCGAGATGGTTGGCAAGGATACTGGGAGAGAGAAACTGCCTTCTCTTTATGAGGAGTGCTTAGGAATCTTTAGCGTCCACCTGGACAGACACAGACACAGACGGGGAAACTTTGGTTTAACATTTCATCCGAAGGAATTGTCGACCAGGATGTTGGGATGAACTCCCTGCTCTTTTCGAGTATTTTGGTGACTAGGATATGGGATTATTCCCCAAAGCTGTTTGAAGCAATAGTCTGTAGCAGCTTCCCAAAGGAAAATGGAAATGAACGTTCCAGGATAATATAATAATAATAATAATAATCCTTGCATTTGATACAGTGCCTTATAACGTCGTTGAGACGTCTCTCGAAGCGCTTCACAGAATATATTGTAATACATTACTGGAAATAGTAACACTAAGTACAGTGAAGTGAATTGACTGTACATTTTGTGAGCGGAACGCGGCAGCCAATCGCGCACAGCAGCGTCCCCGCAAACAGTCGTGGATTGAGCGACCAAACTATTATTGTATATTTTTTTGAAGGGATTACCGCCCTGGAAAGCGACCTGCCAATTGCCTAACAACCGGGTTCCTACTTACTGCTGGGGAAACAGAGGCGTGTGTGTGTGTGGAGTAAGGAATCTAATCTAAGGTTTTGTTTTGCCCGCCTGGGAATCGAACCGTGGTCCTCTCGCTTGCGAGGCGATTGCTCTAAGTATCAAATAGAAATTGCTATAATCATTGTTAACATTAATTGTCACTGTGAATTATTATTAATTGTTATGAGGCTGTTAATATTAATTATCACTGCTGCTGTTGCGATGGACTCTGCTCTGGATGGGGAGGAGGTGGGGGAGTGGGGGTGGGGGGGGGGGCAACACACCAAAATAGCTGACAAACAAAAACGAGGGGACTGTGGATGTGAAATGCCTTCAGTCTACAGTTACCGCCTTAGCTACACGGTCGGAAATCAGCACTCGACCTCCATCCAGTTTCATATTGCGAGCGGATTCGAACCTACAGCCGGTCTCTAAATGGGCCTTGTGTTTGCGGTGGAAGGGATTAGAGACAAGGTCACCTGGAGGGGTCAGAGTACACAGGAATGCGCTTGACACCTGAAGCCAGCCTGTGCACACAGGTGGAAGGCATCTATTCATGGGCTTATCATTAGCAGATAAGCATGGAGCTGCCTTCCCCCACCCACCCGCACTCCCTCCCCCCACACAAGCCGAGTCTGATGACCTCCTCAAATAACTCACTGTTTTAGAGATAATGCACTCACTCTACAACCGAATTACATCTTTGGGGCAGAGTGGAGGTACGGAAAACCAGGTGTGAGCTTTGCTGTTTGGCCGTCAGCTGCTGGTGGCCTCTCGTCTCTCTCTTTTTTGGGAGGAAGGAAGGCGTCCGATTCAAAGGAAACATTTATTCACCATCTCACTCTGTTGCCTGATTTTTGCTCCGAGGCAGAATTTGTTCTGAACCTTTCCTGTGGTGATGTCAAGGTGCCTCTTGGAGAATCGGTGAGGTTCCTTCAACAACAACTTGCACTTATATAACGCCCTCCAGACAGGGAAGCACCTCGGAGCGCTTAAACTGCGAGCGATAAACTCCGAACCAACCACGATCCCGGGCTCCAGGAGGTTTCCCCCCTCCATCCCCTCCCTCTGTCCCTGTTCCCCAACATTCCCCCCCACCCACCCACCCCTCACCTTGGTCATCCGGGTGTCTGACACGTGCGGAAACCCTTCACTGTTGCTTAAAAGTCTCCAAACCAAACTGAGAATTCCAGGCATCCCATCTACATACGGAAATACCTGAGATAGATTGTTGGAATGGACTGGAATGCTCTCCCTCTCTCTCTCTCTCTGGAGGGACCATCCTGCTTACCTAATTCCGGAAAGTATTAGGCGCAGGTTGGCAAGAGCAGAGGCTGGGAGGGAGCCCAGAGAGTGTGTTGGGGTAACTGCTGGATCCTAACCAGCTAAAAGCGCATAGCTTGCCATTAGTGAGAGATCTTTATATCTTTACATCTTATATTCGCCTCTCCCCCCCCCCCCCCACTGAGTCTCCTGTTTTTCTCAGGTCTCTAGGAACATCGTAACAGGAGGAGGCCATTCAGCCCCTCAAGCTTGTTCCGCTATTGTATTAGATCATGGCCGATCCGTCTCTCTGCAGCTAACGGCTGCTTCGTTTTTTATCATCTTTACTGGGCCGGCTGGGAAACCCAGATTCCTTAAAGAGCCTCCACGGGGCAATAAACTACTGCAGGCATTAAAGTCCAGGCTGTGTTGCGCCGTGAGTTGTTTGCACAGCCCGGCCCTTAATCTATCAGTTTAGCCTTTATATTGTATGTAAAGTGCTGGTGTGTTTATGATTGACAGACCATTGCCAGGCACTGAATAGGAATATAGTAACAGGAGGAGGCCATTCAGCCCTTCGAGCCTGTTCCACCATTCTATCAGATCATGGCTGATCTGTACCTCAACTCCAATTACCCGCCTTTGCCCCGAATCCCTTGACTCCCTGACCCAACAAACATCTCGCCACCACAGACTTGAATATGTGAATGGATAATAATCCACAGCCTTTTAGGGGAGGGAGAGAGGGTTCCAGGTTTCCTTTGCGGAATTACTGTATCTTTGGGATTCAGGACAGAATGAGGTCGTTCGGGTTATCTTGTCCTTCCCAGGCTCGCTCCCCCACTGGAGCTCTCTACTCTAACCCCGTTCCCTGCTCTCTCTCTCTCTCTCGCCCTCCCCATCATATCTGTGCTGGGGCTCGCTCCCCCACTGGAGCTCTCTACTCTAACCCGATTCCCTGCTCTCTCTCTCTCTCCCCATCATGTCTGTGCTGGGGCTCGCTCCCTCACTGGAGCTCTCTACTCTAGACCCGTTCCCTGCTCTCTCTCTCTCTCTCTCCCTCCCCATCATGTCTGTGCTGGAGCTCGCTCCCACTGGAGCTCTCTACTCTAACCCCGTTCCCTGCTCTCTCTCTCTCTCTCTCTCCCTCCCCATCATGTCTGTGCTGGGGCTCGCTCCCCCACTGGAGCTCTCTACTCTAACCCCGTTCCCTGCTCTCTCTCTCTCTCCCCATCATGTCTGTGCTGGGGCTCGCTCCCTCACTGGAGCTCTCTACTCTAGACCCGTTCCCTGCTCTCTCTCTCTCGCTCCCCATGGTGTCTGTGCTGGGGCTCGCTCCCTCACTGGAGCTCTCTACTCTAACCCGATTCCCTGCTCTCTCTCTCTCTCTCCCCATCATGTCTGTGCTGGGGCTCGCTCCCTCACTGGAGCTCTCTACTCTAGACCCGTTCCCTTCTCTCCCCGCCCTCTCTCTCTCTCTCCCCATCATGTCTGTGCTGGTGCTCGCTCCCTCACTGGAGCTCTCTACTCTAATCCCGTTCCCTGCTCTCTCCATGCTCTGCTTAATATTGTTCCCTTCTCTTCAAATACTTCTCCAATTCCTTCTTAAACGTTATGATCTCAGCGAGATTGTTTTTCACTGCCCAAGGCTCCAATGCAAGAGAGAGATAACATTAACAGACATGATGCGCTATTGTACCCAGAATATACAATGCGGCTGATACTGACAATACTTGCAATAATATGCAAACACAGAGCAATTTAGTTTGCGATACATTTTGTGAAGATACCGGACTTATGTGTAAATATTTACATGTGTTTTGACAATGTAACACGGCATCTAACATACACGTTGTAAGAAATACGCACACGTTGTTGTTAGTCGACTGGTGGATCGCTTTCTGGGGGTAATAATTTCTCCCTCAATCCTTCCTGTTAGATCATGACTGAAGACGTTTCTCTTCGACCGCGCCTTACGGTCACCTCTTCCCACCCTCCAAACCCCCGCCTCGGGGTCAGGCTCCTCCACTGTTACTCTCCGAGACCCTGTGTAAATGCAAGTTGTTGTTGTTAATTACAAAGCCGTTTTCTGTGAGGCTCTTTTAAGAAATGCTAAGAAAGTAGAATTATTGGGCAATAATTTCCTTACTCCACACGCCTCTGTTTACTCAGCAGTAGGAAGGAACCCCGGGTGTTAGTCAATGGGTGGATCGATTTTTGGGGGTAATAATTCCTTTGAAAAGATATAATAGTGATTTGATTACTCAATCCACAACTGTTTGTGCGCAATTGGCTGCCGCGTTTCGCCCACGAAATACAGTGTATCCTGTGAAGCGCTTTGAGACGTCTCGAAGACGTGATAAGGCGTTGGATCAAATGCAAGGGTTATTATAATATTATTACAGGATAGAGCCAGTGGGATTTCTGCCCTGAGTGACCTCCAGTCTGTATATTGGCTGTGAGTCTGGTGTCGCTCATCGCATTGTTGCTGAGTGTACTCGCTCGCCCTTTGCTGTTCGACTCGTGCCAATGAGTCCTTATCAGCCTGGCTCCAAGCCTCCGCGCAGCAACTTGTGCCAGATCTTGGCTCGTTGCCTGGTGCAGTTCCCGGCTTGTGTTTTTGCTTTGCTACAGAGCTCGTAAACGCCAGCATTAATCTCACTTTAAAACCATTAACAAGCTTCGGCGTCGCAGGGCAGAGGAAAAGTAAACTGGATATTCCGCTAATGAATGTAGGAGTTGTTCCGCTCTGACACCAGTGTCCGTCCCTTAATTTGATGGTTAATTAGAAAATACAAGGACATCGAGGGATGAAACCCAGAGATTCCTTTCCGGAAATGGTAAACCTTACACCACCCAATGACTGTTCTTAATGTAGGACTTCCCTAGCGTAGTGGTTAGAGCACTCGCCTCGCAAGCGAGTGGACCTGGGTTTGATTCCCGGGCATCAAACCTTAAGCAAGTTTCCTTACTCCACACATGCGCCTCTGTTTACCTGGCAGTAAGCAGGAAATGTTTGTGAGTCGATTGGCGGATCGCTTTGCCGGGGTTAATAATCCCTTTTTTAAAAAAAAACGTGGTCACTCAATCCACGACTGTTTGTGGGGACGCTGCTGTGCGCGTTTGGCTGCCGCGTTTCGCCCACGAAACACGCAGTCAATTCACTTCTCAGTATGTCCTGTGAAGCGCTTTGAGGCGTCTCGGAGACCTGATAAGGCGCTGTCTCAAATGCGAACTTTTTTTTAAAAAAAGGAAAAAAAAATCGATCGAATTCCCTGTGAGTTTTGCGATGTTTAAAGGGAAAAGTTACTTTTTTTTTTAAAATTGCAGGTTTGTCACCCCAACGTGAACAAGGTTTTAAAGACATTCCAAAGCAACACAGACAATAACAAGAGGGATTAAAAGAATTCCAGGTGACTAAATGAATCATTAACTAGTTACAATTTCACAGAGAAGCTAATCAGTTTAAAGATTATTAGATTTAAGAGGGCCCGGGTTTGATTACTGGCGGGGAGAAACTTTAGACAAGTTTCCTCACTCCGCACGCCTCTGAGCAGTAACTAGGAACCCGATTGTTAGCTGATTAGCGGTTCGCTTTTCCGAGGGTAATAATCCCTTCAAAAAATAAATAAATAAAAATAATAATAACAATTCGGTCACTCAACCCACGTCTGTTTGTGGGGACACTGCTGCGCGCAATTGGCTGCCGCGTTTTACCCACAAAATATGCAGTCAACTCACTTTACAATATATTCGGGAAAGCGCTTTGAGACGTCTCGAAGACGCGATAAGGTGTTATATCAAACGCAAGGATTATTATAACGATGATAATATTCTCTAGAGAGAGAATAACAGAATCTTGAGTGATCTTCCAATTATATCTTTCTCCTGATTCAACTAAAAGATTCAAAAATATATATAATAATCCTTGCATTTCTTATAGCGCTTTTCACGTCTTCGAGACGCTTCAAAGTGCTTCACAGAATACACTGTAAAGTGTAGTGACTGTATATTTTCTGGGCGAAACACGGCAGCCAATTGCGCACAGCAGTGTTTCACATATATATATAGAGACAAATATATTACTTGATTGGCTATCACTTACTTTTATTATATACTGAACATCTAACCCTCATGTTGCCAGCAACAAATAATAATAATAATCTTTATTATCAAATTATTATTATCTTTTATATTATTATTACCCCCGGAAAGCGATCCGCCAATCGACTAACAGCCGCGCTCCTACTTACTCAAGGTAAACAGAGGTGTGTGGAGTAAGGAAACTCTAACGTTTCCTCCTGTCCGGGAATCGAACCCCGGTCCTCTCGCTTGTGAGGCGAGCGCTCTAACCACTGCGCTACAGGATGCCACAGCAATGACCAACAAGTTTTCTGTGCATTTTCTTTTTTTGGCCCTTTCATTTTTCTTGTCTATTTCAGTGACTCTGTCAATGAATGAACTGAATGTGAGGCGATGTGGCACTTGATTCAAATGCACACAAGACAACCGAGAAGGCACTTTTGTGTAACCGAACAAATTTTGTTCCAGCGCTTTGAGACGTCTCGAAGACGAGATAAGGTGCAATATCAAATGCAAGGATTATTATTATTATTACTGTACATACAGAATGTATGTGCGTATCTTTGTGTGTGTATATATGTGTGTGTATATCTGGGTATGTGTTTGTAGATACCTGTATGTGTGTTTGTGTATATTTCGCCCACAAAATACATTTAAAGTCTCATTCAAAATACAGTCAGTTCACTTTCCAGTAAATCCTGTGATTATTATTATTATTATTATAATGTGTGTGTGTATACACAGTACGTGTTTATATTGTGCGTGTACACACATACACAATGAATGTGTGTGTGAGAGTATATGTATAATGTGTGTGCGATTGGGTATCTATGTTTATATCTGTGTGATTGTGCGCGGTGTGTGTGTATATGTGTATGTAGTTGTGCCAGGATCAAACATGGCAGCCTGGCAGCGGTCACAAGGCTGTGTGTGTGTGTGTGTGTGTGTGAGTGAAAGCTATGCTATTCTGTGCTGTGTGTGAGAGCAATGCTCAGTGCTGTATTGTGTCCTGTGTGGATGTGAGAGCAACACTGAGTGCTGTGTGTGTGAGCTATACCTCACTGTGCTGTGTGTGTACTGTGTGAGAGCTATACTACAGAGTGTTGTGTGTGTGAGCGCTGTGTGTGTACGATGTGTGTGAGAGCTCTACCACAGAGTGCTGTGTGTGATAACTATATATATATATATATTGGTTTGTACTGTGTGTGTAAGAGAGCTATACAACACGAGTGCTGTGTTGGTACTATGTATATATATATAGATATATACACTGTGTGTGTGTTGTGAGTGCTGTGTGTGTACTGTATGTGAGTACTGTCTGTGCGTGTGTGTACTGTGTGTGAGAGCTGTGTGTGTGTATACTGTGTGGTACTGTGTGAGTGTTGTGTGTGTGAACCATGTATGTGTGTTGTGTGTACACACAGCGCTTTGGGACGTCCTCCAGATGTGAAAGGCGCTCTATAAATCTAATTTTGTTGTTGTGTGTGTCCTGTGTGTGAGAGCTATTCCCACACTGAGTGCTGTGTGTGTACTCTCTGTGCATGTGTGAGAGATGTGTGTGTACTGTTTGTGTGAGTACTGTTTGTGTGTGTACTGTATGTAGTGTGAGAGCTGTGTGTATTGTGTGTGAGAGCTGTTTGTACTGTGTGTGAGTGCTGTACAACATTGTGTGTGTGTACTGTGTACGAATGCGGTAACACACTGAGTGCAGTGTGTGTGCGTACTGTGTGTTTGTGTACTGTGTGTGTACTGTGTGAGAGCTATGTGTACTGTATACGTGTACTATGTGTAAGAGCTGTGTGTGTGTGAGCTGTGTGTATTGTGTGTGTACTGTGTGTGAGTGTGTGCGTGAGTGCTGTTTGTGTACACTGCGTGTGAGTGCTGTGTGGTGTGCGCTGTATGTGTGTGTACTGTGAGTGTTGTGTGGTGTGTACTGTGTGAGTGTATATGTATGTATGTGTACAGTGTGTGTTACTGTGTATGTGTACTATGTGAGTGTAGTGTATGTGTGTGTACTGTGTGTGTGTATAGTGTATGTGTGTGTACTGTGTGACAGTGTACAGTCTGTGTAGTGTATGTGTGTGTATGTGAGTGTACAGTGTATGTATGTGTGTACAGTATATGTGTGTACAGTGTGTGTGTACATTGTATGTGTGTGTAGTGTACAGTGTGTGTATAGTGTGTACAGTGTATGTATACAGTGTGTGTGTATAGTGTGTGCAGTGTGTGTATACAGTGTATGTATGTGTGTGCAGTATGCGCGTGTATACAGTGTGTAGTGTATGTGCGTGTATGTGCAGTGTGTGTACAGTGTATGTGAGTGTGTGCAGTGTGTGTGTGTACAGTGTGTGTATATACAGTGTGTTTGCATTGTTTGTGTGTGTACAGTGTATGTGTGTGCAGTGTGTGTGTACAGTGTATGTGTGTGTGCAGGGTGTGTGTACAGTGTATGTGTGTGTGCAGTGTGTGTGCAGTGTGTGTGTGTACAGTATGAGTGTGTGTGCAGTGTGTGTGTACAGTGTATGTGTGTACAGTGTGTGTGCAGTGTGTGTGTAGTGTGCAGTGTGTATGTGTACAGTGTGAGTGTGTGTGTGCAGGATGTGTGTACAGTGTATGTGAGTGTGTATACAGTGTGTGTAGTGTGTGCATCTACAGTGTGTGTGTGTGCACTGTGTATACAGTGTGTGTGTATAGTGTGTGTGTATTGTGTGTGCAGTGTGTGTGTACAGTGCGCAGTGTGTGTGTACAGTGCGTGTGTGTAGTGTGTGTACAGTTGTGTACAGTGTGTGTGTACAGTGTGTGTGTGTACAGAGTGTGTGTGTACAGTTGTGCAGTGTGTGTGTGTAGTGTGTATACAGTGTGTGTGTGTACAGTGTGTGTGTGTATACAGTATGTGTGTGTACAGTGTGTGTGCAGTGTGTGTGTGCAGTGTGTGTGTGCAGTGTGTGTGTGTACAGTCCCACCATAAAGTGCTCCACCCTCCACATCGTTGCCTTAAACCCAACAAGTCAGCCAATGTGGAAATAACTTGAACGAACAGCCACTGTGCTTCAGATTATACTGTACGACCAGCTGTCGTAGCACTGTTCCCACCTCCGCTGTAAAAGACCAGAGAAAGGTCAAGGGAAGGAAAATGAACAGACTCGTCATTGAGGTTCATAGAACGACACCTCAATAATAATAATAATAAGCCTTGCGTTTGATACAGCGCCTTATCGCCTCTTCGAGACGTCTCCGAGAGCTTCATGGAATGTACCGTAAAGTGAATCGACTTGTTTTTTTGTGGGCGAAACGCGGCAGCCAATTGCGCACAGCAGCGTCGCACAAAATATACAGTCATGGATTGAGTGACCAAGAAGGAAGTTCTTG